TCCTCGTCTCCCTCTCTCCCTCTCTCCTCTGTCTCCCTCCTCCTCCCTCCCTCCTCGTCTGTCTCCCTCCCCTCCCTCCCTAACTCGTCTGTCTCCCTCCCCCTCCCACCCTCCCTCCTCTGTCTCCCTCCCCCTCCATCCCCTCTCCTCTGTCTTCTCCCCCTCCCTCCCTCCCTCCTCTGTCTCCTCCCCCTCCCTCCCTCTCTCCTCTGTCTCCCTCCCCTCCCTCCCTCCCTCGTCTGTCTCCCTCCCTCCCTCGTCTGTCTCCCTCCCCCTCCCTCCCTCCCTCTCTCCTCTGTCTCCCTCCCTCCCTCTCTCCTCTGTCTCCCTCCCTCCCTCCTTCCTCTGTCTCCCTCCCCCTCCCTCCCTCCCTCTCTCCTCTGTCTTCCTCCCCCTCCCTCCCTCCCTCGTCTGTCTCCCTCCCCCTCCCTCCCTCCTCTGTCTCCCTCCCTCCCTCCCCCTCCCTCCCTCCCTCCCTCCTCTGTCCCCCTCCCCCTCCCTCCCTCCCTCCTCTGTCTCCCTCCCTCCCTCTTTCCTCTGTATTCCTCCCCCTCCCTCCCTCCCTCGTCTGTCTCTCTCCCCCTCCCCCCTCCCTCGTCTGTCTCCCTCCCCCTCCCTCCCTCCCTCCCTCCTCTGTCTCCCTCTCCCTCCCTCCCTCCCTCCTCTGTCTCCCTCTCTCCCTCTCTCATCTGTCTTCCTCCCCCTCCCTCCCTCCCTCGTCTGTCTCCCTCCCCCTCCCTCCCTAACTCGTCTGTCTCCCCTCCCCCTCCCTCCCTCCCTCCTCTGTCTCCCCCCCCTCCCTCCCTCTCTGCTCAGTCTGCCTCCCTCTCTCCTCTGTCTCCCTCCCCCTCCCTCCCTCCCTCCCTCCCTCCCTCCCTCCCTCTCTCCTCTGTCTCCCTCCCTCCCTCCCTCTCTCCTCTGTCTCCCTCCCTCCCTCCCTCTCTCCTCTGTCTCCCTCCCCTCCCTCCCTCTCTCCTCTGTCTCCCTCCCCCTCCCTCCCTCCCTCCCTCTTCTGTCTCTCTCCCCCTCCCTCCCTCCCTCCCTCCTCTGTCTTCCTCCCCCTCCCTCTCTCATCTGTCTTCCTCCCCCTCCCTCCCTCCCTCGTCTGTCTCCCTCCCCCTCCCTCCCTCCTCTGTCTCCCTCCCTCCCTCCCCCTCCCTCCCTCCCTCCTCTGTCCCCCTCCCCCTCCCTCCCCTCCCTCCTCTGTCTCCCTCCCTCCCTCTTTCCTCTGTATTCCTCCCCCTCCCTCCCTCCCTCGTCTGTCTCTCTCCCCCTCCCCCCTCCCTCGTCTGTCTCCCTCCCCCTCCCTCCCTCCCTCCCTCCTCTGTCTCCCTCTCCCTCCCTCCCTCCCTCCTCTGTCTCCCTCTCTCCCTCTCTCATCTGTCTTCCTCCCCCTCCCTCCCTCCCTCGTCTGTCTCCCTCCCCCTCCCTCCCTAACTCGTCTGTCTCCCTCCCCCTCCCACCCTCCCTCCTCTGTCTCCCTCCCCCTCCATCCCTCTCTCCTCTGTCTTCCTCCCCCTCCCTCCCTCCCTCCTCTGTCTCCCTCCCCCTCCCTCCCTCTCTCCTCTGTCTCCCTCCCCCTCCCTCCCTCCCTCGTCTGTCTCCCTCCCTCCCTCGTCTGTCTCCCTCCCCCTCCCTCCCTCCCTCTCTCCTCTGTCTCCCTCCCTCCCTCTCTCCTCTGTCTCCCTCCCTCCCTCTCTCCTCTGTCTCCCTCCCTCCCTCCTTCCTCTGTCTCCCTCCCCCTCCCTCCCTCCCTCTCTCCTCTGTCTTCCTCCCCCTCCCTCCCTCCCTCGTCTGTCTCCCTCCCCCTCCCTCCCTCCTCTGTCTCCCTCCCTCCCTCCCCCTCCCTCCCTCCCTCCTCTGTCCCCCTCCCCCTCCCTCCCTCCCTCCTCTGTCTCCCTCCCTCCCTCTTTCCTCTGTATTCCTCCCCCTCCCTCCCTCCCTCGTCTGTCTCTCTCCCCCTCCCCCCTCCCTCGTCTGTCTCCCTCCCCCCCCCTCCCTCCCTCCCTCCTCTGTCTCCCCCCCCTCCCTCCCTCTCTGCTCAGTCTGCCTCCCTCTCTCCTCTGTCTCCCTCCCCCTCCCTCCCTCCCTCCATCCCTCCCTCCCTCCCTCCCTCTCTCCTCTGTCTCCCTCCCTCCCTCCCTCCCTCATCTGTCTTCCTCCCCCTCCCTCCCTCCCTCGTCTGTCTCCCTCCCCCTCCCTCCCTCCCTCGTCTGTCTCCCTCCCCCTCCCTCCCTCCCTCCCTCCTCTGTCTCCCTCCCTCTCCCTCCCTCCCTCCCACCCTCCTCTCTCCTCTGTCTTCATCCTCCTCCCTCCCTCCCTCCCTCCCTCCCTCCCTCTCTGCTCAGTCTTCCTTCAAATTCCCTCTCGCTTCGCCTGTGCCGGGGGTGTCGCTCTCGTCCCTCGAGTGTTATGAGGAGCAGCAGCCGGACCATCACGCTCCTGCTTCCCCTCACTCGGACGGATTGCACTCTCTTCAGCCAGAGACAAAAACCATAAGGACTGTATTGGTCTGTCACGGAGATCGCAGGTTACAGTTACCAGACTTCGTGTAGGATATCAGCACACTAAATGTACTAGATGCAGGTTTGGAAAGCTAAATTATATCAGTAAGTGCAAGATTCCCTACTCTAATGTGCAAAAAAACTGGATATAGCGCTGGTCAGAGAATATTACTTGTTGAAAAAATTAATTTCATTGTCTTGCCTTTGACATTATCGGTGGTATGAACAAATAAAACGTGTAATAATTGTAAACCTTAAAGCGCGGTCCTTCAGGCAAGTAGCATATTTGACTGCTAGCTGAATCAGATTGGGTATATGCTTGGGCATCTTTCCCTGGCTTTTTCAGGGCTTGTAGGTTATGCTTAAAAAAAAAAAAAAAAAAAAAAAAAAAAAAAAAAAAAAAAAAAAAAAAAAAAAAAATCTTCACCTTTAACTAAGAACTCGCACTCTTGTACTTCACCCTTGCCAATAACTCTTTCTGATGGGGAATGCGCCCTTATCCTCGCCACATTCGGAATGAAGCTAAACTCACCTCCTTTCCTCTCTTTTCCTTCCATCTCCCCTCCCTTTTCGTCCTCCTTCTTTGTTTTGTTTTCCCTCTCTCATTTCCCTGCTTCTTCAACCTAACTTGTTCCTTATCTCTCCTTTTCTCGTCCCTCCTTCCTCACTCTCCTTTTCCCTCCCCCCTCTCCCCTTTCCATTCCCTCTTCCCCTCCTTTTCCTCTCCCTTCTTCCTTCTTCCAACCTTCATAACCCCCTCCCCCCCATTCCCTGTCTTCCACAAAACTGCCTTTCTCTTCTCCCTCTCCTCCTTATCTCCTATCTCCATCCCTCCCCTCCTCTCTCCTCTTCCCTCCTACTCTCTCCTACTCCTCTATACCCCCACCATTCACTCTCTTCCCCCAGTCTGCTTCGTCTTTTTCTCCCTTTCCTTTTCTCTCTTCCTTCCACTCCCTCTTCCTCCTGTTTCTCCCTCCTCTCCCTATTTGTCCTTCCTCTCTCTCTTTCCCACATCAAAAGTGTTCTTCCTCTGTCTCCTTCCTTCTCTCTCTATCCCCTAAACTCTTCCCTGTCTCTCTCCTTCCCCTTCTCCTCTCTCCTTCCTTCGTTCTTCTCTTCCACTCTCCTCACCCTTCTCTCTCCCTCTTTCGTTCTTTTCTTCCACTCTCCCCGTCTCTCTCCTCACCCTTCTCCTCTCTCCCTCCTTCGTTCCTTCCTTCCACTCTCCCCATCTCTCTCCTCTCTCCTTCCTTCGTTCTTTTCTTCCACTCTCCCCGTCTCTCTCCTCCCCCTTCTCCTCTCTCCTTCCTTCGTTCTTTTCTTCCACTCTCCCCATCTCTCTCCTCTCTCCTTCCTTCGTTCTTTTCTTCCACTCTCCCCGTCTCTCTCCTCCCCCTTCTCCTCTCTCCTTCCTTCGTTCTTTCCTTCCTCTCTCTTTGTCTCTCTCCTCACCCTTCTCTCTCCTTCCTTCGTTCTTTTCTTCCACTCTCCTCACCCTTCTCCTCTCTCCTTCCTTCGTTCTTTTCTTCCACTCTCCCCGTCTCTCTCCTCTCTCCTTCCTTCGTTCTTTTCTTCCACTCTCCCCGTCTCTCTCCTCCCCCTTCTCCTCTCTCCTTCCTTCGTTCTTTCCTTCCACTCTCCCCGTCTGTCTCCTCTCTCCTTCCTTCGTTCTTTTCTTCCACTCTCCCCGTCTCTCTCCTCCCCCTTCTCCTCTCTCCTTCCTTCGTTCTTCTCTTCCACTCTCCTCATCCTTCTCCTCTCTCCTTCTTCATTCTTCTCTTCCACTCTCCCCGTCTCTCTCCTCCCCCTTCTTTCTCCCTCCTTCGTTCTTCTCTTCCACTCTCCCCGTCTCTCTCCTCCCCCTTCTTTCTCCCTCCTTCGTTCTTCTCTTCCACTCTCCCCGTCTCTTTCCTCCCCCTTCTCCTCTCTCCTTCCTTCGTTCTTCTCTTCCACTCTCCCCATCTCTCTCCTCTCTCCCTCCTTCGTTCTTTTCTTCCACTCTCCCCGTCTCTCTCCTCCCCCTTCTCCTCTCTCCTTCCTTCGTTCTTCTCTTCCACTCTCCCCATCTCTCTCCTCTCTCCTTCCTTCGTTCTTTTCTTCCACTCTCCCCATCTCTCTCCTCACCCTTCTCCTCTCTCCTTCCTTCGTTCTTCTCTTCCACTCTCCTCATCCTTCTCCTCTCTCCTTCCTTCGTTCTTCTCTTCCACTCTCCCCATCTCTCTCCTCTCTCCTTCCTTCGTTCCTTCCTTCCACTCTCCCCGTCTCTCTCCTCTCTCCTTCCTTCGTTCTTCTCTTCCACTCTCCCCGTCTCTCTCCTCTCTCCTTCCTTCGTTCTTTTCTTCCACTCTCCCCGTCTCTCTCCTCCCCCTTCTCCTCTCTCCTTCCTTCGTTCTTTCCTTCCACTCTCCCCGTCTGTCTCCTCTCTCCTTCCTTCGTTCTTTTCTTCCACTCTCCCCGTCTCTCTCCTCCCCCTTCTCCTCTCTCCTTCCTTCGTTC